ATCCTGGGAATTCTGGGGGAAAAAATGGGAATTTGGGGGAAAAAAATGGGGTTTTAAGGGGGAAAAAATGGGAATTTTTTTGGGGAAAAATGGGATTTTAGAGAGAAAAAATGGGAATTTTTGGGGGTGAAATGGGGGTTTTTGGGGGAAAATTGGGATTTTTTGGAAAAGAGGGAATTCTGGGAAAAACCCTGGGAATTCTGGGGAAAAAATGGGATTTTAGAGGGAAAAAATGGGATTTTTTGGGGGGAAAATGGGATTTTAAAGGGAAAAAATGAGATTTTTTGGGGGGGTAAAATGGAATTTTTGGAGGGGAAAATTGGGATTTTTGGAGGGGAAAATTGGGATTTTTGGAGGGGAAAATTGGGATTTTAGGAAATGATGGAATTCTGGGAAAAACCCTGGGAATACTGGAGGAAAAAAATGGGAATTTGGGGAGAAAAAAGTGGGGATTTTGGGGAAATGTTGGGGTTTGTGTTGGGATTGGTGGCGCTGCAGGCCCGGAGCTGCGGCCTGGAGAGCCCCTTCCCCATCCCCGGTGAGCAGAGCCCGCAATTCCGGGGGAAAAACGGGAATTCCGGGGAAAAACGGGAATTTGGGAAGAAAAACGGGAATTGGGGGGAAAAAAATGGGTTTTAGGGGGAAAAAATGGGAATTTTTGGCAAAAAAACGGGATTTTAAAGGGGAAAAATGGGATTTTTTTGGGAGGTAAAATGGAATTTTTGGAGGGGAAAATTGGGATTTTTTGGAAAAGAGGGAATTCTGGGAAAAACCCTGGGAATTCTGGGGAAAAAATGGGATTTTAGAGGGAAAAAATGGGATTTTTTGGGGGGAAAATGGGATTTTAAAGGGAAAAAATGAGATTTTTTTGGGGGGTAAAATGGAATTTTTGGAGGGGAAAATTGGGATTTTTGGAGGGGAAAATTGGGATTTTAGGAAATGATGGAATTCTGGGAAAAACCCTGGGAATACTGGAGGAAAAAAATGGGAATTTGGGGGAAAAAATGGGGATTTAAGGGGAAAAACCGCAATTTTTGGCGAAAAAATGGGATTTTAGAGAGAAAAAATGGGAATTTTTGGGGGTGAAATGGGGGTTTTTTGGGGAAAATTGGGATTTTTGGAAAAGATGGAATTCTGGGAAAAATCCTGGAAATTCTGGGGGAAAAAATGGGATTTGGGGGGGAAAAAAATGGGGATTTAATGGGAAAAATGGGAATTTTTGGGGAAAAATTGGGATTTTAAAGGGGAAAAATGGGAATTTTTGGGGGTGAAATGGGGGTTTTGGAGGGGAAAATTGGCATTTTTTGGAAAAGAGGGAATTTTGGGAAAAACCCTGGGAATTCTGGGGAAAAAATGGGTTTTTAGAGGGAAAAAATGGGATTTTTTGGGGGGTAAAATGGAATTTTTGGAGGGAAAATTGGGATTTTTGGAGGGGAAATTGGGATTTTAGGAAATGAAGGAATTCTGGGAAAAACCCTGGGAATTCTGGGGAGAAAAAATGGGAATTTGGGGAGAAAAAAGTGGGGATTTTGGGGAAATGTTGGGGTTTTTGTTGGGATTGGTGGCGCTGCAGGCCCGGAGCTGCGGCCTGGAGAGCCCCTTCCCCATCCCCGGTGAGCAGAGCCCGCAATTCCGGGGGAAAAACGGGAATTCCGGGGAAAAACGGGAATTTGGGAAGAAAAACGGGAATTGGGGGGAAAAAAATGGGTTTTAGGGGGAAAAAATGGGAATTTTTGGCAAAAAAACGGGATTTTAAAGGGGAAAAATGGGAATTTTTGGGGGTGAAATGGGGGTTTTGGAGGGGAAAATTGGGATTTTTTGGAAAAGAGGGAATTTTGGGAAAAACCCTGGGAATTCTGGGGAAAAAAATGGGATTTTGAGGAGGGAAAAAATGGGATTTTTTGGGGGGTAAAATGGAATTTTTGGAGGGAAAATTGGGATTTTTGGAGGGAAAATTGGGATTTTAGGAAATGATGGAATTCTGGGAAAAACCCTGGGAATTCTGGGGGAAAAAAATGGGAATTTGGGGAGAAAAAAGTGGGGATTTTGGGGAAATGTTGGGGTTTGTGTTGGGATTGGTGGCGCTGCAGGCCCGGAGCTGCGGCCTGGAGAGCCCCTTCCCCATCCCCGGTGAGCAGAGCCCGCAATTCCGGGGGAAAAACGGGAATTCCGGGGAAAAAACGGGAATTTGGGGGGAAAAACGGGAATTTGGGGGGAAAAAACGGGAATTCTGGGGGAAAAACGGGAATTCCGGGGGGAAAAACGGGAATTTGGGGGGAAAAACGGGAATTTGGGGGGAAAAATGGGAATTTGGGGGGAAAAACGGGAATTCGGGGGGAAAAACGGGAATTTGGGGGGAAAAACGGGAATTTGGGGGGAAAACGGGAATTTGGGGGGAAAAAATTAGAATTTTTGGGGGGAAAAATGGGATTTTAAAGGGAAAAAATGAGAATTTTTTGGGGGTGAAATGGAATTTTTGGAGGGGAAAATTGGGATTTTTGGAAAAGAGGGAATTTTGGGAAAAATCCTGGGAATTCCGGGGGAAAACGGGAATTTGGGGGGAAAACGGGAATTCCAGGGGGAAAACGGGAATTTGGGGGAAAAACAGGAATTTTTGGCAAAAAAACGGGATTTTAAAGGGGAAAAAAGGGAATTTTTGGGGGTGAAATGGGGGTTTTAGAGGGGAAAATTGGGATTTTAGGAAATTAAGGAATTTTGGGAAAAACCCTGGGAATTCTGGGGGAAAAAATGGGATTTTAGAGGGAAAAAATGGGATTTTTTTGGGAGGTAAAATAGAATTTTTGGAGGGGAAAATTGGGATTTTTGGAGGGAAAATTGGGATTTTAGGAAATGAGGGAATTCTGGGAAAAATCCTGGGAATTCTGGGGGAAAAATGGGAATTTAGGGGAAAAAAATGGGATTTTAATGAGAAAAATTGGAATTTTAGAGGGAAAAATGGGAATTTTTGGGGGTGAAATGAGGTTTTTGGAGGGGAAAATTGGGATTTTAGGAAATGAAGGAATTTTTGGAAAAATCCTGGGAATTCTGGGGGAAAAAATGGGAATTTGGGGGAAAAAAATGGGATTTTAAGGGGGAAAAAATGGGAATTTCTTTGGGGAAAAATGGGATTTTAAAGGGAAAAAATGAGATTTTTTGGGGGGGTAAAATGGAATTTTTGGAGGGGAAAATTGGGATTTTTGGAGGGGAAAATTGTGATTTAAGGAAATGAAGGAATTCTGGGAAAAATCCTGGGAATTCTGGGGGGAAAAAATGGGAATTTGGGGAGAAAAAAGTGGGGATTTTGGGGAAATGTTGGGGTT